GAAAGGACATAAGCCAGAGGCTTTCTGAACAGTGGCCCTTAACCTTTTATGCCCTGTGAGTACTTCACTTAAAATAATGCATGTGAACAAAAATATAAAGTTTACATATCTTTAATTACATTTGATTATTTCATTGTTATTTAACTTTCTGTGGCTATGATTAAAAAATCTCCAAGAACAATATAAAGGGAACAGTTATTTATTTGGCTTACAGTCTCAGAGGTTTTTGGCTTTGTTGATTCCCTAGTCCTTGGCTTCATTGCTTTTTTTAGAGGGGGAGGGACCCGTGAGAACAGTAAATACATCATGGTTGAGGGAGTAAATGACAGAGGCTGTTCACCTCATAGCAGACAGGAAGCAAGGAATGAGGAATGGACAGGGGACCAGGTATGATAAGCTCCAAATTTCTTCGACTAGTCCCTACCCTCTGGTTTTCACCATGAGTAGAGCCGTCATTGGCCACTAAGTATTTAACAGATGAGCCTATGTAGGGCATTTTATATTTAAACTACAGTACTTGGAGAAGTGATACATTTATAGGTGGACTATAAAAATATTTTTAAACAAATTTAATTGAAATTTAAAATTAAAGACTAATGAACATTTATCTATTTTGCGTGTGTGTGTGTGTGTGTGTGTGTGTGTGTGTGTGTGTGTGTGTGTTATATGCACCTGTGTATCTTGGTGCATGTACCCTTCCCTTGGGTTCTTGCAGAAGGCATAGGAGAAATGTTGAGTATCTTGCTGTATCCCTCTGTACTTTATTCCTTTGAGATAGGGTCTTTGAACCTGCAGTGCAGAAGCCTAGTGGGCCTCTCTCTCTTCTCCTCACAGTGCCTGGCCATGCCTGGCTTTTTTCTGGCACTGGGGATTTGAACTTAGGTTCTCATGTTTGTGCAGAAAATGCTCTTACCTGCTGAGCCAATTCCCCAGACCCTACTTGAACATTTTAATAAATTCAAATTCTATAAATAAAATGGTAATTGAATAAAAAAATTATGTAAAATTTCCCCAATACTGCAAATACATTTTCAATGTGTTTTCTTTCTTGGTGTGGTGATTTGAGTGATAAAATTTTTCCATAGTCTCAGGCATTTAAATAGGTGGTCCCTAGTTGGTGGCACTATTTGGCTGGGTTAGGAGGTGTGGCCTTGCTGGAGGAAGTGTCAGTGGTGAAGAAGGCTTTGAGAGTTGAAGGACTGTACCATTTGTAGTTGACTCTGCTTCCTGTTCACAGTTCAAGAAATGAGCCCTCAGCTTCTGCTTCAACTGCAGAACTCATACCTTCTGTTTGCTGCTATCATACCTCCCCACCGTGACAGACTCTTATCCCTCTGGAACTGCAAGCCAAATAAACTGTTTATCATTCGTTTTGATCACAATGATAGAAACATCATGTGGTTATTTTTGTTCAAACTAAACTGTGGGCTACAGGATGTGATGTGCCATTCCATAAGCTTCAGTCCACCTACCTCCTGCTCACAGCTCTGGCTGTGGACACCGTCATGAGGAAGTGTGCATGCAAACTGGGAGCCACAGTAACTTCCTACTGGAGTTGCTTCTGGTGGGCATTTCTTCACAGCAGCGAGGAAGTAACAAATACACATGGCAGTAAGGATGATTGCCTGTTATTTGACCAGTATACATTGTCATCCTATGCTCTTTTATGCTTGTCTGGAGTGAAATACAGCTTTGAAAAAAACGATACAGGAGTGAATGAAACAATGTTTACAAACGATCAGAACATGTGAGTGAACACTCCTGTGGTGAGGTCTTAAGGTCATATTACTTTAAGATTGGCTTAAAGAGTAAGGAGATTAAATGTTATTGCTTTTAAATATTTTGAAAAGTTATTTTAAAAAAAAATAACATTTTTTTTATCCAGATAATATAGAAGGACCAACAAAGAATATTAAGAACAAAGCTTAATATGAAAACAAACAATATGAAGAACATTTTCTACCATTTAGAGCTGATTATCAATGAAACGATAAGCTGCCCTGGAAAATTTTCTTATCTCAGAAGTAGTAACACTGGGTTCATTGCACTGTTAGAATGCCTCACCTGCATTGTGGTTTCCGTTTAACATCTGGTTTCTTATTTATTTTCTGATAAGATCACTCATTTTAAGGGACTCGACAGAAGCAGAGCTAAGAGTGTACACCTAGAAGTTGGGCTAAATTGGGTTAATGTGATCATAAATGAGGGAGCAATTGTTCTATATTTGAATTTCCTCTTCTATTAATTGAAATGATCATCCAGCACCTCTTAGGAAGATGTTTAAAGAACAGAAAAAGCTAATGTGTGTAAAGTACCTGGCAAGTACTCTGTTTTATGTGCTTATACCCTGTGTCTGTCACAGAATCCACATTCTTTTGTTACAGACAAATATGGTGTGCTAGGAAGAAGCTGTTTCAGGTGTTTTGGTGATGTAGAAAGGATTCTTACATTCCGGAGACTAGATAGATTTTATAACTTGTAGGACCATAGCCTTTTAGAGATTGGCGTCTGGGAGAATGTAAGTTGGAGGTGGGTACTGTGTATGTATGTAAGGAGCATGGAAGCACCATGCCTGAGTAGGACTCTACTCCCTCCCCAGTTTGTATAGTGGCTGCCTCTGTTGGAAGATAAAGTACATCTCATTAGAATGCTTTCTATCTTGGTTTCATTGCTGCTGTACAAAATATGCTGTTCCAGTTTCATTCTTTAGGTTGATTGTTAGATCCTGAAAGTTGTAATTTTCTTTCTTGATTCACTTCAGCCTTTGAGATCTCAACCTGTAATTATCACATACTTAAATATAATACAAACTTTTCTGAAGTTTTTCTGTCTTCCAGAGTATGTTAAACATTTTATAGCATCGGTTTATTATACTCTAGAAAATCAGGTTTCTAGCATTCAGGAGGAATTTGGTTTTTTCATTCTTTTACAGATAGAGTGAGCCTGGAAGGCACTACTTGAATTTGAATTAGGGCTGTGCTGCTGCTGCTTTCTTTTCTTCTTTCTTTTTTCCTTTTCTTGTCTTGAAAATGTCACCATTATTATCCTGGGAATTTCTAAGAGAGAGAAAGGGAGTGAGGGAGCAAGGAGGAAGCCATAGAGCGGAGCCTCTTTTTTCTGGGCCCCATAGACCAGAATCCTGGGGATGGAGGACTCCTTTGCCAGCTCAGGCAGTAGGACAGGAATGGGGCTGGCTCTTCTCCACACACTTGTTCATTTGTTTACCTTTTCTCTAGATCAAGTCTTTTGGCCAGTTCCTTAATTACTCGGAACTCGTTTCCTTATCTCTGAAATAGAACTACTGAAAGTACCCCTTCCCTGGTGAGGATTAAGTGAAAAGTGAAGTAGTGTGTAGAAGGGTGTGTTTAGCTGAGAGCCTGGCATGAGCTAGTCCACCTCAGTGTTGGAATCTTTCCCTCAGGATTAGTCTAGTCTAGCATCCATCTGTGGCATATCAAGTGTCACTACCAAGCTAGTTCTTAAAGAACAGAACTGAATCAGAGTGCAGAGTCCTTCCCATGAAGCTCTCTTACTCTAGTAGGTGGATGATAATAGAATTATGGGCTAAATACAGGGAGCTATGAGCAAGGTAATAGTAACTGTGACCTGGATCAAAACTGAGCCCAACTCAAAGTGATCTGAGTACATCATTTAATTCCTGAAATAGAATTGAGCATAACCATTCCAAGACACATTTGAATTTCAAAGCCTTCCTCCTCCTTTTTCTCCTTTCCTGCTTTCTCTGCCTCATCCTCTTCTTCTTCCTCCTCCCCCACTCCCTACCTCCTTATTCTCTTTGGGGAAAAAAATTCAGGGAAGCTGCTCTTCCCACAAGGCTCCAATTCCTTCATTGGAGGAGCAGTACCACATACAGGATTGTGCCTCCCACGGCCTTCACTTATGAAACACATAATGAGAATGACCCAGAGAGCTGTAAATTCTTTCTGCCTAGAGATTTAAAGGGGTTTCTATCTATATTGCCTTCAGTTTGGGGTATTTTAACATTTGTTACCTGTAAAGATCTTGTTTGTTTTATATAATGTCTGTTTATATTGCTTTGGTTCTAAAAGAATAAATACAGAAGAACACCTGAAGCACTTCGTTTATTTGTGTGTATTAGACTCTTATTAAGAACTGCCTTGGAGAACTGGGGCCATGGCTCAGTGGTTAAAGTGCTTACCATGCAAGTGTGAGGGCCGGAGTTTGTGACCTGCCTGTAATTCCAGCAAGATTGGAGGGTGGAGAGACGATTCCCAGAGCAAGCTGGTTAGCAAAATTAGCTGTATTGGTGAGTTCTGGATTTGATTGAGAGACTTTGCCTAAAAGGGAGAAGAAGCACAGTCAAAGATGATTCTGGACATCAACTTCTGACCTCTGTATGTATGTGAAAAAGCATGTTCACACACATGCCAACATGCATACAACATACCTTATATGAAGATGGAAAAGGAAAACAATTCTTGGAGACTGGAAATAATGATACTCACTTGGAATCTCGGACCTTAGGAGGCAGGCCAGGCAGGGGCACATACTGAGACCCTTTCTTAAAATAAATAAATAAAAAGGGAAGGAGGAAAGAAAAAGAAGAGTGAATTCCAATAGCAAATATATACCTCAAGGTTTTATCTGATGTCAGAAATGTCCTACTTGTTCCTGAATTGGACTGTGGTTAGCTGACCATAATAACAGTTAGTTTCTCAGACCTAAAAATATTGAGAAGAGAATAACATTTAGAATGAAAGCAGAACTTTAGCAGCAGTGGCTAAATATGTAAATATTGGAGGTTAGACCTAGAAATATGTTTGGTAAAAGGCTGAAGAAATTATCAAAGAACTATTTGAAACAGCACTGAACATGCTTTTCCCTTGAAAGAGTGTTTTTGTGTGTGTGTTGGCTGGTTGCATTAATTTTATTTCCATAAATTACCATTTTGCCGATGTAGCATTTTAATTCTTTTTTTTTTTTTCAGCTTATGGGAAATTTTTTCTTTTCTTTTTCAGCTTATGGGAAAGTATTTCTAGTTCGTAAAATAAGCGGTCATGATGCTGGAAAGCTGTATGCCATGAAAGTTTTGAAAAAGGCAACAATAGTTCAAAAGGCTAAAACTACAGAGCACACAAGGACAGAACGACAAGTTCTGGAGCACATTAGACAGTCGCCATTTTTGGTGACACTGCACTATGCTTTCCAGACAGAGACCAAACTTCATCTCATCTTAGGTAAGTGTCCATTGTTGTCATACTTTCTATGAGAACATTTTTCTTTAGGTCTTGAGGCAACATAGTATGGACTTAGAAGAAATTGTTTTGCCTCTTATTCTCTTTGTGGTGGCATTTCTGTTAGCGTCTTGCTTTGGAAGTGAGGTCCCCAGCATGAAGAAGTTTGTATACCTCTTTTCCACACTCCCTGATTATTCAGTATACATTCAAGCAATGCAAGGAACTTGATGGCCAGGTGGGCTCTGATTTGTGCTTTAGTTCTCAAGAATGTGCAGGTTTGGGCTGACAGGACAGCTGTGTGATCCAATGGTTAGGCCTAGTCTCTGTCTCTCTCTCTGTCTGTCTCTTTCCCTCTCTCTCCGAATCAAGATGTAGCACTCTCAGTTACTGCTCCAGTGCCTGCCTGTATGCTTTCCGTACTCCCTGCCATGACCAGGAAACTGTAAGCAAGCCCCCAATTAAATGCTTTCTTTTATAAGAGTTGCCTTGGTTATGATGTCTCTTCACACACTAGAGTAATGAGTAAGACATTTCCTAACTAATATGTTTTTATTTTACTCAGTACTCAGTTGTTGACTTTATCTATAGCTGTCAAACAAACCACCTAGAATGGAGTAGCTAAACGATGATTTATTTTCTTAAGAATCTGGGGAGCTGGGAAAGGCATTTCTCTACAGCTTTAGGCTGTTCTCACTTACATGGTATGTAGTAGAAGAGCTAGCCGGGTCAGAAGATCCATGGTAGATAGAGTTTCCTATCTGACAATTAGTGCTGTTGTTGGCTGGGCCACCTTGTTTCTCTCCAGTGTGGCTTCCCATCCTTTAGTACAGCGGGTCAGCTTCTTCATCCTGGCAGCTTGAGAGCAGCCCATGAAGTCTGCTGAGAGTGGAATAGTGGAGGTTGAACAGCTCATCCAGGAACTCAGGCAGTCTTTCTGTCAACACATGATCAGCCTAGATTTGTATCTTGCTGGAGGGCAACTGCAAAGAGTTTGTGGTCAGCTACCAAACAAGTCTGTGTTCAGATATAACAAATTACAAATGGTTTGTCCAGTCCAGGAAAACTTCCTTGCCTATGTCTTTTAGATTATTTTTACTTCTACTGAATTTTAGTATTTGGGAAGTTAGATATAAAGGTTAGATTGAAGTTAGACATTTGGAGCTGGACTATACAGTAAGAATATTTCATATTGTAAAGCATTAGAAGAAATCTGTTATCTGGTTGTTACTAATTCAGAAATGCTAAAATTGGATTAGTAGATGACTATATGAGTCCTTCATTATAATCTTACATTTTCCCCCTTAAAAGTAAATACATTCTGTGTGGTATTTTGAAACTATATGATTTTAGCATACTAAAGCATGGTTAATATAACAAAACAAGTTATGTCATCTTCATACCAATTCTTAAAGATTTTCCTTGGTCTTTAAGATTTCTGCGTAGTACTCCATTCCACTTCATTGTGTTCTTGTGTAGTTCCCTATGACTGGATCCTTAAGCTGTTGTTTGTAGTTTTGTCTTATGTTGTTCCTTCAGGGTTTAACTTATACATGTATTGTTTTCAAGTTTAATAGAAAAATCATTTGGGCAGAATCTGTATTGTAACCATCTGTGATTGTGTCAAATACACTGCATGCATGTGTGTGTTTCTGTACTTGGTGTATCATCAAATTTCTGGATGTTTGTGCATTTTTTAAATGGAGAGCAGTGTGTAACTATAGGGTCAACTTTGTTTTTATTTTCTCTCCTGAGGCTGGCATCTTTTTATATTCTTGAAGAGCCATATAATATGTTCTGAGTTTGTATAGTTCTGAGAATTACTTATTTGTACTCTTTGCTCATTTTTTTCTTCTCAGATTCTAAGACCTCTTAGAAAGATTTGCTGTTTGTGATAACTATTTCCCCTTTTTACTTTTTCACTTTTTTACTTTTTTACAATGCTTTTATCAAACAAACTGAATTTTATATACAGTAGAATTTATTTTTAAAATTGTTCTTATGACCTCAATTTTGAGTCATAATTGAAAGACTTTTGTTTCTCTTAAGTTTAGAAAGGAATTTGCTGGTTTCCTTTTTTAGTATTTGGGAAGTTAGATATAAAGAATATCTAACTTATTTAGTTATTTGCATGGTTCTTGTTTTTGTTTGGAGAACTTTGATCCACATAGAGTTTTTCTTTGAGTATGACAAGAAGTAAGGATCCAGCTTTTTAAACGGCCACTCCGTTTTCCTGCATTTTTGAGAGAAAAGCTCATTTTTTACCCTGACTCAGGTTTTTCATCCACGATCGTTTCATGTGTTTGGATATATTTCTTGACCTTCTCTTCTGTTCGGCTTATTCAATAATGCCGAGCACCATACTGGAATACCTTTAAATAGGCATCACGGCGTATTCTAGTATTCAGTAATAACAGTTCTCCAACAACCCTTGCTTTTTATTGCTGATGGTCAGAACTTTATGGAGGGCTATTTCCTGTTATTTTTCCACATGAGATTTATAGTAAATTGTCTTGTTCTAGGGGGAGAAAAAAAGTTGATAGTGGGTTTTACTGGTATTTCTTTAAATTAAAAAATGAACTTTGAGCGAACTGACATTTTGATGACACTAATGTCTAATGACACTGATGGCTAATCCTGTTCAAGAAGATGGTCGGTCCTTGCTTATAGGAATCTGCATCTGAGATCTTCAAGAGTGTTTGAACATTTTCTTCCTACCTGTGTGTCTTGGATTAATATCGAACTTCCTGTCATTGCTATTGTAAACACCACCGACTCTGTCTTACAGCTGAAGGCTTCACTTTTTTTTACAGTAATTTTATACCTTGAGATCTTACTGCCTTGTTCCTTCTCAGCCTGCCCTAGGACATGCTGTTGGTTTCTGTGACTTTCTTGTATCTCTTATTTTCCTGAACATTTAACTCAAGGAGATTTATAGCCATCCCTGCTGTTTTTCAGGATGTTTTAGAGATTGAAATCTAGGCTAACATCAAGTCATGGCTCACTGCAGAATGCTTGACAGGGCTTACTCCAAGGGGATAAAATTTGCTTGGTTGGCACAGGCTTCTCCAAATGAGATAATTATAATGATAGTAGTATCTTACCAGATGCTATCTGTGACATTTGTTTTTAGTAGCCAGTTATGGAATAGACTAACATTTCTAACAAAACTGAGCATGTATGATTGCTTCCCACAATAAGCTTTAATTATAATTATCTCTCATTTGTTTATATTCTATCTGCCATTCTCTAAGTCAGTAGGCAGTACTTTTTCTGACCAGTAAAGGGCCAGATGGTAACTATTTTAAGCTTTGCAAGCTTTTCAGTCTCTTTGACCATAGATTGTAGTAAACAAATAGGCAGAGTACAGTTCCAAAAAAAATTTTACTTATAGAATTGGTAGTGGACTAGATTTTCCTTCTGAGTTGTTATTTGACAACCCTTGTTCTAAACCCATCTCTTGATGTATACACACACACAAACACACACACACACACACACACACACACACACACACACACACACACACACACCTACACCTGAGTGCGTACATGTGGAACCTAAAGGTTGTTGACATTAGTTATTGTGCACAGTCTATCTCCACCTTATGTTTTGAGACAGGGTCTTTCACTGAACCTGGATCTCATCAGTTAGGCTAGACTGGAGACTCAAAAGGCCCCATAGGATTCTCTAGTCTTGGCCTCCCCAGCTCCAGTATTATAGGTGTGTGCCTCCATAGCTGGCTTTTTATGTTGGTTCTGGAAGTCTTCCATACTAGCAAGGCGTTTATTCACTGTGTCATCTCTCCAGCCCAATTAAGTCACATTTGTGTTTAAATATTTAAAATGTTGCTCTGTAGCATTAATAGCTCTTTAGGCTTCATCTTAACTATATGGAGTTTTTCCCTTTATATTTCTTGCAGCTTTTCCAAATCTTATAACATGGGCAGCTTACTCCTTTATAACTTTCTCTCTACCTGTGTTGATACAAGAAATATAAAAACATTTTCATCTATTCTCTTTTTTTGAGCTTATATTTTTTCAACAGAAATTGGAATTCTATGTGGGAAATAATCTGAACAAAACAGTTTCTCTTTTAGTAGTCTCTGAAAATGGTGATTTTTTTTTTCAGAACACCAGCTGATCTTTGACTTTAATAATCAAGTTAACCAGCAGGATTTATCAGACATCAAAGAATCAAGTTTCAAGTGTATTTATAAGGGTGATGCCAAGGAATATTCCTAATGAATGCAACATCAGTCTTGTAGACAGTTCTGTTCTCAGGTGTTATCATTTCAATGGGATTTGGATGTTTAACACATTAGAGTTCACTTTTGAGTTTTAGTTTTGTCTCAGAAATTGCAAAGGTGTTGATGCTTGATGAAATGGTAACAATGGTTCATTGTGCATTGTAGTCACTAATGTCACAGAACAGACAGAAACTGCTGCCAGACGTTCCTTCTTTTAAGTAAATACAGCTAGTTCTCAAGACTGAGAAGGCTTTCTGTGGTGGCTGTGATAAGCTGTAAGGTGTCACAGTATGGGGCGCGTGGGGGGAGGGTTGCACACGAAATGTGAAACAGAGAGGGTAGTGTGTGTGACTGGAGAGTGAAAACAGAAGAGAGGCTTTCCTTGAAAGCAGGAGGTTGGGATTGGCCTGTCAGCTCTGCTGCTTGCCGCCCACAGGTAGACACCACTGAAGCAGCTCTCTGGCTCCACCTGTGGTTCTGCTGGTGCATTCTTTGTGGGAAGCTGCAGTAAGGCGATGCCATGGGTTCTCAGCAGTCCTTTAAGCCTGCTGACATCTGCACTTGCTGATAAAAGCAAATGAACTTGAGGTAGTGGGGAGATTTCTGTAGCATTCAGCATTAAGTGCTGTGTACAGAGGTCATGAAAACCTGTAAGTGTGCTCCCTTTCAACAGAGGGAGTTCTCCACTTTGCTCCAATACAAAGGCTTCTTGCTAGAGATGTTAAAGAGTGCCAGGAGAGTGCTCAATTCAGCA